ATTATGTCCCTCGGAAGCTGTCGCTGTTTTGCTACCCACGAATTCTGGCGGTAAATTCTTTGAATCTGCCAATCAAAGTTAAGTCCCGGACTTCCCACCAAGCGGCTGAAAGCCTCAAAGAAGGTCTGTTTCAAATTCTCCTGTTGGTTTTCACGCAGTCCTCTAACTCTTATAGCAAAGGCAGTCTTATCATAATTTATCATGACAAGTTCTTTTTGAGCAATTTCAATTTCCTGTTGTAAGGTTTGAATTTTTGATATCAGATTAAGGTTAGTTTCTTCCAAAAGTTCCAATTTGGGGCTTATTTTTGATGTAGGACTTAAATTACAAGCATCCTGAAAAATCACGCTAAGGCTTATTTTCCAGTTGGGTCTTATTTTTGGGGAAACAGGGTATATTAGAATAGTCCTCACTGAACCTATATCAGCATTTCATTCCAAGGTGGATCACCCATAGACCATGGTTTTAGCATGTATTTAGTCCCCCCCCCGCCCCATGGCTTCATGGAAACCTTTGGGGGAATTGAAAAAAATTGTCTACTGATTGAGAACCATATCATTGGCATTACAGCGTCTTCACTGCTCTTTGGTCTGCCTAGTGGTTCTGCTAAGATTCTCAAGGCTGAAATCAGGGGAAATAAAGACTACCACACAAGCTGCAATTAAGGGAAGTCAGAAATGTCTATTATATGTTTAGGAGGACACAGAACTAGAGAGAGGGGGAAGTTGAAAATAAGACCGCAGGGGAAAAAGTCACAACAGATGGAGAGTGGGAGAACATTCAGAACAGAGTTTTTAAGGCAATGTTAGTGTAAAAAGGCTCTGGCAATTCAGAAAGGAATGTACTCAATTTCTTTAAAGCAGCAATTTTCAAATACATCAGCAGAAAATAAAATAATCTATGAAGAAAGTTCAATAGATTATATAATAACCTGCTAAAACCTTAAAAGTCCAACCGTAAAATGCTAGATGCCTATTGAAGGAGGATATTCCAGTTAGGATTCTACCAGAGAAGTCGTCCCCATGCACCCGAATCCCACAAGTGTGCAAACCTAAAAGAAGGGTGGCCCCAGGTAATTTTAAGAAATTGACAGGTTTGAAGGGGAGCAGTATCCTTGGCGCAATCATTGATAATTTTGAATTGTGCCTAGAAATACATGGGAAAACAATTAATCAAACATGCTTTTTACAGGTTTGCAGCCTATCTGTTGTGTATTAAACCAAGTCTTCAAAAGTAGCCATATACCCAATGAAAATTAGGAGCGATTACTATCTGATACTAGAGCAGGGGTGTCAAACTGGCAGCCTGTGGGCTGATTGCATCATGCCACGCCCACCCCAGCTCCGTGAAGGGAAAAAACATTGCGAAACGTCACGTGATGCCGTGAGTTCGACACTTGTGTAACAGAGGATGGAGAACTATGATTATTTTGATCCCTGGTGGGTTTTTTTTTAGTTTTATAAAATAATAAACCAGCTAGTTGAAAGCTCAGCCTGTCAAAAGATGTTGTACATATAAAGGAGAATATCTGTAGCCCAGGGTTGACATGAGGGGTCCTTGATGCTCTCTAAGCTTGCTTGTTGTTGTTGTTTTTTGGTTTTTTGTTTTGCAGATGCTTTATTACCTAAATTAGATAACATCATCAGAGCTAGTAAGGAGTGGAGTTTGCTCTCACTTTATATTCCAGTGGCTTGCCAGGTCAGTGTTGGTGGGGGTGCTCTTAGAGATTATTTGGTTGGGTTGTTTACTGTTTGCTTGCTGGCAGATCCTTGATTGGGGTATTGTTGACTTGATTGTTGGTCTGATGTTAATCTTGGGAGTTAATCTGTGTTCAAGTGGGTGCTGATTGCTGGTGGGGAGATGTTTTGGTCTTTTTGTTCCCTTTTTGGCTTGTTGATTGTATCTTTTGCATAGTATATAGATTTTATTTATGTCTATGTGACTATTGATGGCTAATCTGTCAGAGTGCCAAGCTTCTAGAAATTCCTAGCATTTCTGAACATGTCTTGGTCTAGGATCAGGGTGGATAAAAATTGATATTTTTTTAAAAAAATTAGTTCTTTTTAAATTTAAATTGGATTTTTTAAAATTAAAATCAGTTTTTTATTTTTATCAAATTTATTTTAATAAAATGCTTTTGGAGTCAAAATCTATCTAAAGGTAGTTTTATATTTAAGATACATTAATATTTTAGTTTATTCAGCATGAAATGGGGCTTAGTTATGTAGCATGAGGCTGTGTATTCTGCAATATTGGGACTGTCGGTGAGGCAACAGAGGATCATAGAAGGAGCCGCTGCGGGACAGAGATGATAGTTGCTCTTTAAAAATTATCATTTAAATTGACTTGATTTAAATCCAGCCTTTTTAGTAGTGATTTAAATTGACTTGATTTAAATTAAATCTACCCTGTCAAGGATGGTCACAGTTTTCTGACTAAAACTAAGGATATTTCCATATGTTGTAAAATATTGTGTCTTCTGACTGCTTGTTGGTGTGCAGTCATTACAATGAATGTTGTAGATGGCTCCTGGTTTTTCTCCTAGGGCAAGATGGGTCCAAAGACTGCATGTCTTTTGAACTTCTCCTAAGTGCAGAACGCATCCATGAACACCACTTAGCAAAGTGTTTCAAAGGGAGCACTCCAGGTTTTAATAGAGGACATTATAAAATAATACTAAATAGAGAGGAGACCGACCAGCCAGTACTCTATGCAGTTGTCTATCTGGAGAGTCCCATGACAACTCATGCTAAGGGTTAGGGGCACCAGCAGCTGGGTGGCCTTGGAACCAGCTCGATTCATGGAGCTTAGCCAACTACGTCATTACTTTCATGCATTATAGGAGGATTTTGTGACATTTCTATGGTGGATCAGCATGCCCCATTGCTTTTCTTTTTGAATTAGCCCGATGAAAAGACACACATGATAAGTGTCATTGCTTTCATTTCATCAGAAAAACTGCACTGTCTGGAAAATTTCACTTTTCTACAATGAGATCTCTTAGATAAGAATAGGGCCTTCTGCAAGGTAAAACTGACCTGCTGAATTACAACACATGCTAGACTCCTATTTTTTTTTTTGAAAATTCCTTAATTCAATATAAGATTCTTATTCTGTTTGCACAACACAATAGAATGCCCCATAGTCAGCTGAATCAGTTTACCAAATTAACCACACTGAAAAATAAGTCAATCAGTGGCTGCATTTACTGTATACAAAAATTTCCATCAGAAGCTAGTCACATCTAGTATAGTTTGTTAGACGAATCCAGACTAAACCAAGTAATATTACTTTACATAAAAAAGGGAAGCAAGGGTGAATGAGATGTAGTCAATTAGGTTACATCTAAGTGTTGAATAATAGGAAGACCAGCATCATGTCTTCTATAATGATTCATGCAGACCTCAACTTACATTCATTTAGTGACCATTCAAATTTATAACAGCACTTTTTCCAAAAGTGATTTATGACCATTTATCACATTTACAACTCTTGCAGCATGCCCACAGTCACATGTTCAAAATTCTGAGTTTGGCAATTGGCATGTATTTCTGATGGTTGCAGTGTCCTGAGACCATGTGATCACTTTTTGCAACCATCTGACAAGCAAAACCAATAGGCAAGTCAGATTGACTTAACTGTGTAATTAACTTTCAAACTGAGGTAATTCACTTAACAAGTGTGACCAGAGAGGAATATAAAATGGGGCAAAACTCACTTATAACTGTCTTGCTTAGCAACAGAAATTTTGGGCTCAATTGTGGTTGTAAGTCAAAGATTACGTGTATTTCCTTTCCATTTGATTTAAAAGCCTCTCATTTTAGATTAAACCATGGTTTCTTTTAACCATATTTTCTAGAACAAGCCATGGTTGTGTCCATATGTCACACTAAATCAAAATCAAAGAGTTATTATGGTTTAATGCAATGTGTGAAACCAACTATATACCCATTTTTCACCCCATGGTGAAAGTTTCATCACTCATATTCTCACTCTGGGTTTCTGTGCACAAAAGCCGTTAGCACTTTGAACTATTACAGGAGTTATTTCAATTTTGTACACAGCAATGCACAGAAGCTACTTGAGATAATACAATGGTCACCAAATAAACATTTGATGACCACAGCAGAAATACTACAGAGCTGGCAAATATTGCTTTCTCCGAGGCATCTGGGCCACAGAGAATTAAGTGTTAAATGTTTAACTATGAAGTCAGCATGTCTCAATGTAATCCTCTTTATACAACAAGAATACAAGCATTACTTCTTGACAACTGTGGATGTGGCTACTGTCTAACTTACAAAAAACCAAAGTACAAAACAGAATGATAAATCAGTGAGATGAAAAGTGAACATGGAAAGTTATTTGTTCCCAGCAGCCAACAGCAGATTCAACTAGATAATAGAGATACTATCGGCAGTTGTAACTCAAGTTCCAGCATTGTTTTTCTAGTAACAAGGCAAAATTAGACAGGCACATGAACAGCACAAGATTTGGTACATAGGCAACTATGCAATGGCAACAGATCCTGTGAAAAGCATTTCTCCTATCAAAACTGCTTTATTTCACACAGCTTAAAACACCAATAGACTTTGGGCTGTCTTGTCAGTCACACTATCCAGCTAGTTTTGTGTCACAGCACAAGAGGCAGCCACCCTTCTTTCCTTGCTTCCAGATGTTAGAGGCAGCATTCTCACTCAGGCCACGTGGCCCGCATAGCCCACCACATAGTTCATTTTTAATGCATATAAACTAATGTGTATTCAACACAACTTATTTTCCCCAAAAATAGGGAACAGGGATTTCTATGTGGGCTTATATTCTGGAAACCATTTAGTCTCCCCTAATAAGCATGAAAAGAGAAAAAGGATATATTGGGGGGGGGGGGGGAGGATATTCAATCAGGATCCAGAACTAGAAAACAAGGAAGTGAGATTTTTCTTCTTCATTTTAAAAGGCATTTATTTGCTGGACTTTGGGGAGAACAGCATTTCAGGTTAAAGTACCCGGCAGGCGATAGATATCCTCCCATATCATTTTCAATGTCCCCCCTCCCCTCCAAATTTACCACCACGTTTAGACTTCTTCCCCACGAATCCCACATCACGCCTGACTTTCCACCCACGTTTCTCCACCCGGGCGCTGGGGGGAGTCAGGAGGAGACGAGGAAAAGGTCCGCTTTGCGGGCGCGCCAGTCCCTCTTGACACGCGGCATTCTAGCCTGGCTTTGCCGCTGTGGCAGCTGCTACAGGTCCTCCGAGGCCACACGGGAGCCGAGCCGGCGGGCACAGCGATTAAAGCTCGCCCACCTCCGAGGGAAAGGAGCTTCCCGCCGGGCTTCCACCCCAAGGAGGCAATCGCCCACCCAATGCCGCTCTCTTTCGCCCGCGCCTTACCTCGCCCGCCTCGGCGGGATCCTTCTCCCCGGCGTGATCGGGGCATGGCTAAACCGAGCGGTTATCAGGAGACGGTTTCTGACCGGGCGGCGCCTCTACGTTGTAGATCGACGGGTACAGTCGCTGCCTCACAGGGGAACCACGCCGTTCGCTCCACCACCATTTTCCTTTCCGTGATTGATTACTCGCTCTCTTGCCCCCGCCAAGCGAGTGCCGGTGCCGCTGGCGCCGCCGTTCCCTCTGGGAGCTGGAGTCCTGGCGAGCCAGGCTTGCCCAGTTAAGGCGCTTTGTGACAAAAGGAGGGCTGAACTACGAGCCCCATGATGCTTCGCGCGCCTCCCTTTCAGGAACCTGCTGGGAAACTTAAGTCGCGGAGATTCAGGGGCACGCTAATAACGCAGCGCTGGAGGCAAAGAACTACGACTCCCGAAAGGCCAGAGCAGAAGGTTCGCTGGCCCATAAGGGAATCCGCGGACTTCGGTGCCGCATGCTAAAGACTCCCGCGAGTTTAGAGAGGTTTCCTCTCGCGCCCTCCGCTGGAGAAATGGAGAGTTCCGCAGAGGCGACCTGTATTCCCCCAGCTGGAGAACAGGGGGAAAAGGCTTAAGGAAGTATTAATGAAAATTACTGAAATATATTTGGCCGGGGGTGAAAAAAAATTATTAAGCAAACAGTACTCTGTGTTGTTCATTTTGAATAAGTCGAACGCAAATATTGATAGTTTCCTGATTATCTGTACCATAGACTTATCATTAAGTGCTGTACCTTAGGATTCTTGACGAATGTTTCTTGCCTTTTTATGTCCACTGAGAGCATATGCACCAAAGACAAATTCCTTGTGTGTCCAACCACACTTGGCGAATAAAGAATTCTATTCTATTCTATTTAGACTTGTGGGACGATATTATCACGCAACCACGACCTCCTTGAATTTTAAGCAGGAGAACGACCCACCGGGGCGGGGCGCGAACGATGGGAATCATTCTCCCACCTTTTGTCCTTGTCTTGCTTACAACCTTCATGAATGGCCCTCCATTCCTACGCATGAGCATTCTGTTTTCCTTCGGGCGGGGCATCGCTTCAGGACCAGCCCATTAAAAATGAGTCACCCGTAGGCGGAATGGTACATTCCATTGCTTTCGTGCTAAATTCAACGTGGCTTAAATTTTATCTTGGGAGGTTGAGTTTCATCTTTCATCTTACTTCAGTTTAAACTTGAAGAAACGTTCGTATATTCAATGGCAGTTTGACTTTTTCAAGAAAATAGTTATTTTAAGGTTCTTTCCTTTTTCCCCCCTCTGTCTTTTATTACAATTTGAAAAATGTCCTTGTTTGGCCAAATTAGGTTACCAGCCTTGTCCCTAACTTGTGGGTCCATTCCCCCATTCAGTCTACTGCCCAGGTGTTTCATTTTGATTAAAAATCTCTTATGATTATTATTGATTATTAAAATGAAATACTTTCTACACAATCTTGCATTGGGGGGCTACTATATCTTGCCTGCCAGAATCAAGACTATATTGGCAACAAAAAGATATAGAATACTCCACCCAATCTTTGCTGCAATCTCCTAGCTGTCTGGCTTTTTTGTAGCCCAGATTTGATACTCTTAGCCAAGCTGTATATCTTCCTTAATTTTAATTATACATACATACATACATACATACATACATACATACATACATACATACATACATACATACATACATACATACATTCTTTCCATTTACTATTGATGAAAGAAATGTCCTTCT